GGGATATATACACAAATGTAGAAGGCTAAGATCTACAAAATGTATTAAGTTTAACAAAGCTCCATGATATTGCCGTAAGCACTAGTACAGTGTCATTTTACACTTTAACCTAGGTTGAGTTTTTTTCAAGAAATATCTCATGGAGAATGTTGAAAATACCATTTCTGAGCCTCTAGATTTCAAACTTTTCTAGGGGAGGATGCCCCTATCCCCTAGCCCCCTCCCTTCAAACTGGCGCATCCGGCTCCAGTTTTCTAGTCCACCCAGTAAAAAAATACGTTCCACCGTCTCTGATCTTCCAAAAGTTAAGCTGTGCGAGGCAAGTTTGACGTTTTTGTTTTGTTTTGTTTCTTTTTTCCTTTCCTTGGATAAAAAGAATAGATTCCATGTTGCCATTGCTCTGTTCAGTAATAGGTCACTCTTTAAAAATTTTAATAATGTGGGAAAATCATCAGTAACATACTCGCCCTGTTTTTGCCACATTTTGACGCCATTTGTGATCTACATGTAAAACTGAAGAGACGCACGGCAACGTGGTTTCTATTTGTTCAATGGATTCATGGAGGGGCTAATATCGAAAAGGCAGCTCTGACCCTTTAGTATTGAAATCATCGCAGACTGTGATTGAGTTAAGGTTCACTAGGTACCTTTTAGAAGAGGTCAAATTGACGTCGTGAAGCACTTACCACTTCCTATGCTTTCGAGCATATGCTTTGCTCAGCTGGTTCTATTTTTTTTTTTTTGAAGCAGACAATGGCTGCAATGAGGTGTCGCCTGCAATCATCAATTTCCTGCCTTTTTTACAAGCATAATCTTTGTACCGTGATACCGCCATTTGTCTAGGCAGAACATTCAACAAAATTTTAATTGCATTACAGTCAAACCAGGTCAAGCGTACCCCCCAAGAATGCATTAATGAATTTATTATTCGAAAGTTGAATCCGTTGCTAGTTATAATAATAATAATAAAACATTTATAATGCGCAAATTCCATAAAATGTTCAAATGCGCATGACAAGATTAAAAACGAAATAAAAAGGCTAAAAAGCTAAAATTACAATTAAGAGTAAACTTACAATGATTTAAAAAGCTAAAATTACAATTAAAAGTAAACTCACAATAATAAAAACAATTATGATAACAATACATGACGGAAAAGGTGAGTTTTTAGCTCGGCTTTAAAAATACTAACTGTGCTGGCGCTTCTGATGTCAAATGGTAACGCATTCCACAGTTTCGGTGCAGCACAGGTAAAAGAATGATCACCTAGTGTAGCTTTAGATTTAAAACGTGGATAACTAAGTAAAAGGTTATCACTAGAATTCCTTAGATTATATTTAGATCGGAGCCTAAGAGAAATGAGAGACGATAAATAAGTAGGCGCTAAAAAAAATAAGAATCTTAAAGTAATTAAAAGTATTTTAAACTCGATTCTATATTTATAAAATAATCGGTAACCAGTGTAATTCATAAATAAGAGACGTTACATGACAAAATTTCTGCTCTCTAAAAATCAGTCTGGCGCAAGCGCTCTGTACTCGTTGCAATTTATTCAACAGGGAGTCTGGTAGTCCATATAAAAGACCATTGCAATAGTCAAGGTGACTCGTTATGAATGCATGGACAAGTATCTGAGTTGACTGCCGTGAAAGATACTTTCTGATCCGACGAATATTATAAATATAGTAAAATGAAGAGCCACAGATTTTTGTGATGTGTGATGCCGATGGACAGCCTAGAATCAAACCAACAACCAAGATTTCTCGCGAGTGGCACGGGATGAATATCTGAGTCACCCACACGTATAGTGATATTATCTAGCTTTTCCAGCTGTTGTGATGAACCAATGATGAGGAGTTCAGTCTTGTCGTCATTACTGAAATTAAAGATCATTATTCAACATCCAAAAACGAATGTCTCTAATGCAGTCGTCAATGGAACTTGAAGAAAGCTCTTTCGTATATGGATTACTTGAAAAAATCAAGTCCTCAGCATAGCTTTCGCTTTAGCAATCAGACCTGGTTAAGGCAAGACAGAACAGCTGCGTTATGCATTGAGGCGGCTTCATGAAAGGCGGTTCAACTTATTGAGCTCGAAAGGAGGGAATTGGTGGACAAATTTTGTCGAGAGCAGCAAAGTTACGAGATACGCAGGTTTATTATTGTAGAATTCCGATTGATCAAACTTTAAATTCACTGGCCTCCTTATAATTTATGCCAAAACTAACTTCACCAGTCCGGGCCACAACCAGATCTGGTTATATGATGACGTCACCCAATTTTGAAAATGGCGCCCACACCGAGGAACACGAAGGAAAGTCACACACTGAGGCTCTTTGCTACTCCTGGAAGTGCTTTTTTCCCACAGTACTTTGAGAGCTCTTTCTTTAGACAATGAGGAATCAGGCGTGTGAAGAAAAAATGGCGTCTGATGAATGTTTATGCGTTTTTGGGAGGTAAAACGACCGAGCACGGGAGTGTTTCTGCTAAACGAAATGCCCGACAAGGAGCAAAACATCGAAAAAAAGGAAGGTGAGTGTCATTTTTTGGACCTTTGGAAAAAATTTTTGTGAAATCTACACAAAATTTGCTTGTTGATAGTGGTCTGTTTGGTTTAGTGCAACGCATTTTCACATAGTGCTGTGCTTTTAAAGATGTAAAAGTCAGTTGCGCAGTTAACGTGCGGGTTTTTGTAACGCCATGTTTATTTTACGTTATTTGGCAGTCGGATGGAAAAGCACCTTGGTTTTTTGGAAAGAAGATGCCGTTTGTGTGGGAGAACATTCTCTAAAGTCAAAACTGTCCAGAACTGCGACAAAACAGCGCTTCGAAGTGAACTTTTGAACTTCTTTGGCGTCGATATTGAGCTGGACTCCAGAGAAATCCATCCACAGAAAGCGTGTTCGGCTTGTAGGAGAGTCGTTTATCATTTAAATTCTGGTAACTTGGACCCCGAAACCTCTGAAGGGAGAAAGCAAGGAATAAAACTGTTTGTGTGGAGGGAACACTCCTCAAAATGCTATTGCCTGCAGAACCTTAAGGGAAGGCCTTCAAAGAAGGAATTGAAGAGGAGAAGACATGATTGTATTGCCTGTATTTTCGATTGCTCATATATTTTTTTAGCGGAGCTCCCGCGCGCGAAGCGCGCGCAGCGGAGCACCATGGGTAACAAAATTTGGTAAACTATCCATCCGAGAAAATTTGGTTATGACGTAGCGTACGCCCACCCGCACACACACCTCATGTAAGGCGATGTCAAATGTCACAATAGATCTTGCACAACTTGATTAGCCTTTCTGTTTTGTAATCCATCCGTATGAGTACGATTAGATTGACAGCTGTCAAAATCAGACATCCGCTGACAATTAAAATGTCACACTTACCAATTCAACATAAAAACGAAATTACCCCGGGCAGGGCTATCAGTCGGCTGACAGTAGTTTTAAGTTTTATTGGCAAGCCAAATTAAGGTCAATTGACAGCTGTCAAAATGGGATATATGCAGACCACTATCAGAAAACTAATAACGTGGGCTTAGGTTCGCTCAGGTACACGATCTGTCATTTTCCACTACAAGCCGGACGGTATGTCTTACTCACACTCGTAGTCTGTTAATTCGAATATTCGCCATTCTAATGAAGGTTAATTGACCGCTATCAAACTAGAGTATACGCTGACCATCATCACCTGACTGTATCGCAGGCTCATTTTTCTATCCATTTAGATCAAGTAGTCTTTAAAGGTTTCCGCTGATATTTTATTTGATCACGGGCTCAATTCGAAGCCCCATAGCTTAGAAAATGTATTCATCCTACAAAATTCGGCAATCACGTGACCGTACACTGACCACCCGTCCTTCCGTCCGTCCGCAACACAGGCATACCAATGTTTAATCTCACACTTTCTAGCTAGTTTGGGAGCCTGCAACCTGATATTGTACATCCATGTTTTGATTAATTGACAGCTGCCAAAATAGTGTTTCTGCTGACCAGTATCGCCTGACCGTATCGCGGGCTCAGGTATCGACCCACTGAGTTCGAGTGTTTTTTTGAAGTTATCCGCTGACAAGTTGCTACTTTTCAAATGACGCAGGCTCAAGTTCATTTTTTTTAGATGCATATGAAATAAGTCGTGTTCATGGGCCGCACTTTTAAAATATTGATTTCGAACTGACCTCGGATGCGAAAATTCAACCGGCTTTTACATGCGGGGAAGGCAATCGCTTTTGACTTTTCACACTGTCACGCGTTGATCACGCTCTACGTCCAAGTTTTATGTTCTGATTGGTCAAAATTTGACAGGTGAGTTCATGCGGAAAATTTATGCAGCGTTTGCACCTTCTGGAAACTCGCTTACTGATAGCTGAAGCCGACAGAGTTTTGTGTCATCTTGTCATGTTTTAAACTGCCTTTTTTTACTTGATGTACAAATTGAAATACAGCTGTTATCAAGATTGTTCTGTAATTCATGGCTGGTTTGTTTATTGCGCTTTTTGTTGACGAATGCACCCCTTGTCAAAGTCATTGGAAATCCGATTTCGGAAGGCATCGTTTTGAAAAATGAACTTACTCACTTGCCCTTGCTTGAGGCGTAAGAGGGTTGAAAAGTCTCAAGCGATTCTGGAACACTTGATGACCTTCAGAGGCAGCATCCCGACTGGTAAGCCTGTGCAATTATTGTCTTTGATGTGTTTTTTTTTTTTTCGGTTTCCTGAAGTCGAGCGTTTGGTTTAAGCGGCTTAAGTTTATCCACGAGCAATGATCTAACCTACAATAGTATCAGGTTTTAAAAGCCTTTAGACATTTTTTTGACCGCAAATTCAAAGAAAAGGTTCCGAAGAATATTTAGTTATGATTTTGGCTGTAAACAGAAAGCTCTGAGCAATTTTCTTGCCACGAGTTCATCTTGTAAAAGAGCAAACACCGGGAAGTCGGCTTAAAACATAAATAAGCTTATGTTTACCTGACTCATATCGACTCATAATTTTCAGAGACACTTTACTCTCAATACTTGTCTTCGTGAATGAAAATTATTGTCTCTGTACATGTTTCGCCAAATTATATTTTTTGATTGTTAGTAGTCCCTCTCACAATTTTTATCGCTGCACCGGCTGTTTCCAGTCGAACATAAACAACGCATGCAAAAATACTCAAAACGCCGCGCGTAAATTATCACTCGCTTTTAAAGATTACACATAACAAAACCATAAACAGTTTTATAAATAAAGGGAAATACAACCTAAACATAACAAATTCTCTATCATGTTGAAGCGTAAATGGTAACTCTGTTAATCGCACTGCAAATTTGGTGCCTGTCAAAAGTGAGAACCCGTCAGGCTGGCCGAAAAGATGATTTTGGGAGTTTTATTTATCGTTTTCACTAAAAGCCCATAATTATTACCCTACATATCACATAGGACCAGATTTTTCTAACTGAAAAGTCCCGGCATTATGGAATTCTCTTCATGAAAACGTTTTATAATGTGGTCAATGCTATAATTTGTTGTGCAAAGGAATTGGAAGCGCGTGCTTTGATCACATGTGACCCAGGCTCACTGTTAGTGTCACGAACATATGGGGCGAAGTTTAGGTCTGGAAATTTGCTAGAAAATGGAAATAAAAATCGATGAAACTCACCACGTGGCGAGTTGTTGTTGTCCTTACTGTGTACACAAAGTTTCGGGAAAAATAGTGTGCTTCACCGTTCCTTCATATTACTATATTTCATAGTTGTCCAATTATTCATAGTCTCTCAAACGGAGCAATTTTGGAGAGACTGGTGAATGCCACATTATGATGCAACAGCTAATGCAAATACAATACACTTTCCAGGCCTAATCTACTGTGATCGAACATGATTGCTCTTTTGGGTGTACAAATAAGACTATTAACTCGATGTAAAATTTGTTTGACTCTTGGACTGTCAAATTATTTTTCTCTAAAATCACCTAGCCTTTGCCTCAAAAGCCACATGAATGTGCCCTGATCTGTGGATTACAAGTTTATTGTTTGATTTAATTATGAATTTATTAACGGGAGCTTCGCTTTTAGCCCTGGCTAAATCTATATATTAATTTATCATTTATTTGTTAGTTTACTTTGCCTTAATTAGGTTCTGACATGCAAGGTGGAAAATGTGAAGAATGGCTGAAAATACACTTTAAACAGGACACCAAATGATCGATCTTACAAAACTGTTCCATATTTCATAATTACAGTCAAACCCCATCGATATGGACACTGAAGGGGCCATAGGAAGTGTCTATACAACGGAGGTGTCCATATCAAGCAGGTCCTGTTATAAAAGTCAAAAATACACTTTTTTTATCGAAATACTACAGCATCACGCCTAACATCTTTAAACATCACTAAGCTCTTATTCTGCAGACTGTGTCCATGAAAACACACGGAAGTCTCTAGAAAATCTATCAAAAATAATGTAAAATTTACCAAAACCTGTTCTCAACATAACTCGATTGATGTCAAAATGGTCTATTATTGTTGTGCACAATTCATTAGTCTCGCTTGCTTTAGCAAAGCGAGAATCGTAAAATGCAGTTCGGTTTTTTTTTTTTTCGGTGGGACCTAGTTTATAGGTCCCGCGTTCCTAGCGAAGACCGTGGAAACTAGGGATAAGAATCGAGACGACTTTCATTGTATGGAAATGAGTCTCGTGATGAGCATGTGGTTTATTTTGGGGGATGACTGGAATAACGCGCAATGTTTATCACGTTTAAGTGCTTTTCTTCCATGCAAGAAATCAGACTTTGTCTTTTGCGTTAAAACAGGTTACGTTTCATGCTTATGACATAGTAAGCCGATAAAATCGTAAGTGCAAAACAGACATAACAAAAAGTAAAACTGTAAACTCTCTCTGATCTTATGGTAATTTGGT